CGCTGTACGGCACAGACTATAATACAGATTATTTAAATTGACTGTGTAACATTTTATCTGTATTGGTGATTCTATGTTTTATTTTAATAATGAACAGGCCGTTTGCAATGAATATGTGCGCATGAGGCGCCAGCGCGATCAAATCGTTGAAACATAAAATAGTAGCCTACTCCATCACTTACAATCAGGGGCAGATTTAGTGAATTGGGGGCCCCAGGCAAAATATAGGAATGGGGTCCTATATATTTTCACACATTTTCCTAGATCAACCTTTACGTTCCTTTTTTGTTAAAGTGTCACACGTTTTAAACTCAACAAAATGGTAAAATACATATATCAAGAGCATGCTCACAGATGAGAACAAAACAGCATTGGATGAAGTGAATTAGAGCCCTGCACGAGTCTCAAATCGGCCCTAGCCCGTCTTTTTCCCCTTTTCCCAAAAAAAGCTTATACTACTGTTTCAGCTATTAAAATAGTTATTTTTTGTATGTAATGGAAAAGTGATTATATTTCGTTTAGTTTTTTTATAAAGTAAATTTAGAAAAACGTTTGGAGTATTTTTTGTTCGTTAAATGTACGTTTTTTACTTATGAAATGATAACATTTCGTTTTGTTGTGTGATTTCTGCTGCCAGCTCGTTTCCAAGAATATGCCTACATAATGTTAAACACGACTTTAGTTTAAACCTTAAAATAAATAACATTTCTGCAATCGTTTAACCTTTACTTGTCATGTAATGTTTACTTTGATTGCCATGGGCCAGAAAAGGCGTTTTCTCCGACATGCTGTGACTGACAATAGAACTATAAAATACGCCAAATCCACAACATAATTACGAAATGAAACAATTTTATTAGTGCGCTGTAATCCAAATCTTCCGAATCCATACGACTGTGAGGAACAGACCCAAATCCAAGCCTTTTTTCGGCGATCTTCTTCTCCATCTCGAGCAGCGAGTCCAGTGACCGTGAGCAGCAAAGCCCGTGCTGACTGACGCGCTCTTTACAAATTCAAATGTTGCCGCTTCAAACGACAGGTTTTACGGCAGGATAATCGAACGCTCATTGGCTATCGCCTGCCTTCGTCACAGATTGCGACATGCCGTGTTTCTGGTGAGGTGTGTTTGAATAATGCGCGCGTGCCTTCACGAGTTCACGGAGTGGATCGGGAAAATTATCTGGATAATATTTTCAGCGATTAACAACATAAATTCTGCTCTGGATCACACAAACCTACTGTATTCCGCCAGAGAGGACTGCGGGTGCAACGCATCATTTGGATTACATTTGGTGCTGCTTTTGACATTTTTGCAATAAATAAATGATTGTAATGGCATCTGTCTGTCATGTTTTTCTTATACTGTACAGAAATGTTTAGGTTTATAAGTAGGAGTGGGATTAGAGACTATAAAAATATTTTAATGCTATATTGTTACTAAAATGGTTATTTTCCTGCATATGTCGGTCATTTGCGTTTTATATCCTTTCATATTCGCTATAAAATGGGTAGGTTTAGGTTTGGGGGTAGGTTAAGGGGTCTAAAAATCTAAATCGCTTATTGATAAAATGATAAAAATGCACTGATACGAATATCTTAATGATATAAAAGATACGTAAATATTTGTACGTTTTGTAGCTAAAAATACGTAGCTATTTGTACGTTTTAAACGTTGAAATACGTCTAAATTGTACGTTTTAGCATTAATAAAAACGTACAAAAATGTACGTTTTGTACTTGTAAATGTTACGTATTAATACCTACGTATATACATGAGACCAGGCTGGTCATCCAAAAATGAAAAATCTATCATTATTTATTTACCCTCATGTCATCTGAGTTGAACTTTTTTTTTTGTATTTTTAATGATTATATAATAATCATTGATTATTTTATTTTCTAATTATATATTATATTATATTGTTTTCCTGTATTCCACAACATTAGGGTGAGTAAATATTTACTGAAAATCAATGTTTATTTTACAAAAAAAATAAAATAATAATAATTAGGCATAAATTTAAGATTTACGTATGTACTTGAATTGCATGAATTTTACTCATTTGGATTACACAGTTAACTAATATATAAACTAATCAACTTAGTCTATGTAGTGCAGTGAAATAGAGAAAGCAACCCCAGAATGAAGCTTAGTGGAAAAGTGGTTTATAAATATATTTCAGTTAATACAGAGAAGTGTTGAAAAAAAAATCTAATATTTATTTTGTATCTTTTTAGAAGTACTGCATTGTTAGCTTAGCAATGTGTTAACTGCAAACTCTTTTGCAATCAGTTGGTTAGTCACTTCCATGTGGAGCGCTATTTGTATGCCGTCAGTCACTTCTGAGGTCCTATTTCAGTTAGAATGCTGCCTAATAAGACAGCAAGACATCTCTCTAGGTTTTGGAACAGAGCCCCTGTTTTGCCATCACTTTCAGGTTGATCTTTGCTAACCACAATTCTGTCCTCAAATTTCTGCCTTCAGAGAAAGCAGCCGAGGCACCGGCACCAGCAAGTAAGTTCAGATGTTTTCTGACACCCATGAGGTGTGGACGAGTATGGTGTGAAGCTACTTTTTGAGTTTAAATGTAGCCTGTTTGCTTCATATACAGTAATGCTGTACCTAATCATTCAGAAGTCATAAGCAATAATCAAATGCATGCATTTATGTAAGCAGTTTGAAACATCTGCAGACTATAGAAATGCATTGCTAAGCATTCATAGTGATCATGCGTACCTGCATATTATAGAACTTGGGAGAACTTCAAAAACTTCCAGGCGACTCTGAGGTACAATTCCCTATTCACCGGATGTATTAACTTCACCGTTCAATCAATCAATCAAATGAACCACATTGTTACTATTCAAGGTTCCCACTCAAACCAGAGAGATTAAACTATTTTTAAACAGCATTAGTGAAATTGCAAATTAAATGCAACTATTAATACACTAATGCTGCTGGCTGGTTGGCCCTGTGTGAACTACTAATGTCATTCTTCTACTGTAATGCCTGCCTACTTTTATTAACAACACAAATCGCTTCACTTGCTTGTTAGAGACTGAAGGTCAAATTGCCTAACCGTTGGGCCACTTTAGTGCGTGTTTTCAGTGAAAACCCTGGGTCTTATTCGCAAACCACTTGCAGTCTAATTTAACAAGGCACTATTCAGTGCAAACCATAAGTAATGTATGTTTGTCTTATTTTCCAGTAGAAATAAGTAAGTATCCTTAAAGGGGTCATATGATGCTGCTAAAAAGAACATTATTTTGTGTATTTGGTGTAATTAAATGTGTTTATGCGGTTTAAGATTCAAAAAACACATTATTTTCCACATACTGTACATTATTGTTTCTCCTCTATGCCCCGCCTTTCTGAAACGCTTCGATTTTTACAAAGCTCATCGGTCTGAAAAAGCGAGGTGTGCTGTGATTGGCCAGCTATCCAGTGCGTTGTGATTGGCCGAATTCCTCAAGCGTGTGACGGAAATGTTACGTCCCTTACCATATTGTGATGCCTGCGGCAACCACATGTGACGACCCCGGGCTGGACTCCACTTCGTCCACGGTGAAAGCCGATCCGGCGATCGACAGCGCGAAGTTGATTTCCTCAGCGACCAGCACGGATCAGCTCCAGGCAAAACGAAGCGGATATCGTCCTCTTTTGGAAGGCCAAACAAAGTAGTTTCGCTTTCACAACGAAACACACAGCGCCTTCACGACATGGCGGTGGCAACAATACTACAGCGAGAATAAAAGTTACGCCTTCTTTCTTTGCGTGAACATTTGGGCAGCGTTATGCAAATCTTCCCACATAGTGATGTAGATATGTGGGGGCGTGTTAGAACGAGCCGTTTTAGGTAGGCGTGGCTGAATCTTAACTTTTATAAAGAATATCTCTTTGGATTTGAGACTTTAGTCTTTGCAACTTTACAGATCTTCTTTATGCACCAAGAGCTAGTAACACTCCAAAGAGAAAGGAAAAATTGAAAACGCATCATATGACTCCTTTAAAACAAGATAAATTTACTTAAGAAGTAACATTATGCAAGAGCTCACTAAATTTTGCTTAACATTGTTTTAACCCTATAAAGCCTACTGTATCATATTTCATACACAAAATTCCAAGGCCTCTAAATTATTAACATGATCAAAACTTAGCTGAAAAACCTGTTGTTCACAATCTACTACATTCCCTCTGTCATCTGATTGCTAGTTTGCACTTTTTTTAGCAAGTAAAAGACCTTTCGGTAAAACTTTCACATGGCTTTTTGCTGTGAAATCTTTAATGATTTTTAGGAAGTAAACATAAGTCACTTTTATATAGTTACTATTTCAAGGTGAATAATCACTTGATTAAGCAGCTTAGGTTTACTTGATTATCCACACATCGTTTTTTTTTTAGAAAATCATTCTAAAATATCAGTATCTAATATGATACATCAAGAATGTTTATTTGTTTATCTCTCAGTCATCATTGTATTGCATTGCATTATGTGTAAAAAACAACAACAAACAAACCAAAAAAAACAACAACAATAAAATAAAAAATAACACACAAAAAACTACAAAGCTTTATTCATAAACTAAGCATTTAAATATGATCTTAGACAATTTTTGGGAGATATATTGACAGATCTCGTACAAATTAGAATTTCATCTTACTTTTTGGCTGTATAAATATCAGCAACTGCACCAAATTGCACATTTTTGCTCAGTTTGTGCCTCTGAATAAAATGGAAGCACTTTTTCCCTCTTCATGTGTATGTATATGAGCTCGATATTCTCCTATATTGTGGTAGATGAGCCATAAAAGCCTAATGTATCAAATATGATACTCAACTCAACTAAAAATAAATTAAAAAATAAAATAAAATAAATAAATGTAAAAATAATAATAATAATAATAATATTGTCAGAAGGTTCAATAAACGTATTTCATATGTCAGACTTTAAAAGGGTTAAGGAAGTACAGATATTTTTTTTGGAAAACAGCACAAAAATGGATGATTATGAAAACCGATTAAGTTAATCTGGCCAACATTTAGACATGTTGTCTTCGGGCACAGTTCACTCTGAATTTCCTCCTTAGTTTTTATGTCTATTTTCTGATTCCTTCTGCATGTAATGCATCATGCGACAGCAAATTGCTTTGATCAGGACTATCCCCTCAGTTCACCTGCGAATGCAACTTTTGTGTTATTTTAGTGCCACTTATTCTTCAGATGACAATTTCTTATGCTATAGTTGACCAAGAAATTTTAATATAAAAATGTGTTTCTCCTTGTAAGTTTAAAGATATGAAATCCCACCAAGGTCTCAAGTGACTTTATTCTCAAGTCTGGTTTTCATCCATTTAAAGTAACTTTTGAAGGTCGCCATTACTTTAAAATTCAAGTCTTCGTCTCTGCCTCAGTGGGTATTTGCCGATATCGTGGTCTGCTGCATGTAAAAATCATTCCTCTGACAACTGCTTTGTCATGTCACCTCATAACAACCCTGATAACTAAATGTCACATTAACAGATATTCTATACTAAACTGAAAGTCCTTGCCCTGTCATTTAAAGATTTGCTTCTGCAGCACTTTATATCATATATTGAAATGAGTCCATTTTTTAAATTTCTCTCTCTATTTCAATTAGAAGACCTGAAAGCAGAGGAAAATGTCACAGAAGGCAAAAAGCCAGGTAAAGTTAATCTAATTCTGCTGAACTTGTCAACACCAAACATTGCATTATAGTAGTTTTGTTACAGAAATCCTCTGTAAAGGAATTGTAGACACTGTACATCATGTTACAGTGCAATATGCAATTTTGCATAGCATGTAACCCGTTGCCAGACAAACCTAAAGTACAAGATTAGACGCAATATTGTTATTTTCTGTTTGTTTGTTTGTTTGTTTGAACTTGGATTTTGTGATCTATTTACTTAGTCATATGGCATATTTTAATACAATAATAAATACTTTCTTTCTATTTCTATAATATTGAATAGTTTTTAATTATAAAAATACAGGACCAATAAATCAATACATGTATTTTTAGAACTGCTTATTTGTTTATTTGTTTGTTTTTGGCTACAGAAATCTTCAGGATGTACCCTGTTGCTGTAAAAACCCCAAGCACAACTTTATATAAATAGAGACACAATAGTTTTCAGTTATTATTATTATTTCATTTTATTTTATTTTTGAACCTGGAGTTTGTGTGTTTATTTATTATGCATGTATGTGTAAATATGAAAATATTTTTATATAATAATTGTTTTTATTATAATAAATATTATACAAAACAAATCTCTTTTTTGAAATTACAGTTTTTTATTTTATTTTATTTATTTTATTTTACAAAACTAAACTCTTTTTTGATATTACAATAAATATATAAATGTGTTTTTACAAGTATATATTTGATCAGGATTATTTTTTTTATTTTATTTGATCTTATCTTATCTTATCTTATCTTATTTTATTTTATTTTATTTTATTTTATTTTCTACGACCTCAGAACTGAGTAGTCATTCATTCTTTGTATTACAGGCAAGATACCGTACTTCCAGTGTGTTTTAATGAGTTCAAAATCCAGCCAATATCCACTGCGGCCCATGTCCCCTGCTATGAATCCAGCTATTAACCCCACCATGATGAGAGCCATGATGGAGCAGAGGGCCGCATTACTGCAGCAGAAAGCCCGTGCAGCTGGCCAGTAACTGGACGACAGACCCCGTCTGGCCCTGGCAGGTGCAAACTGCTTATGAACTGCTATAAAAACATAGTGCTGCTGGGCTCTCAAGAGCTATCTTCCTAAACCATCAGAAACTTTAACAAATAATGAGTAGAGGTCCCTGGTTTCTCAATGGACGCTCTCCATACTTTCATAAGTGATTTTTGAATCTGACCAGTTTCTCAATTTTGACAAAAAAGAGATATAAATAAATTCTAATGTACATTTTGAAATATATTTAATGCATAAACACCTGCCAAAGAAATGTTGTGTACCTGGGCAGATTTACTTTTTTTTTTCTTTGAGATCTTAAATCATTTGTTTACATTTTTTGCAGGGAAGATTCTGATGTTTTTTTTTTCTTATTGTACATAAGACTACTCAGCGGTGAAGCAAATTTAAAACTGGTTAAATAATTTAAGTGTTGATCTAAATATTCAGATATTTATTTTTCTATGTCAGAGTATATGATCCCGTTACAGAAAGAAATCTAAGAGCACACACTCACTAAGGGCCTTATCTTTTGGCCCAGGCCATTTCCTTTGACTCACTGTTAATACGATTATGTGTAGTGTGTCTGGGTTCTAGCAGGGTCTGCGATCTCTCTGCATTTGTATGCATGGCCATTAGAAAACAGGAGGACGCCATTTGGACCGAATCCGATTTCTATCTTAACCAATGAAAAGAGCTTACATGCTTATAGAATTGAAAGAGACATTAAGAAATGAAGGCACACAAAAGCCTACAGCCTCTAAATAACGGAAGGCTTTCATTTTACTTGACTGAGACTTTTCTTGAGTATCTCTTTAGTTAATTGAAACCCCTTATTGGAGGTTATTAGATTTATGGTAGTGAATTGAATAGTGTATGAATATGTCAAATCAAAATGTTCAAGTAGCAATTGTGCTACTTGTGTAAAGTATACAGTAAATATAGTGTTTGTCCGCCATGCCATAGTATTCTCTCTTTTCCTAGATCAGCGGTCTTCAGCCTTTTTCAAACCAAACCCTTTGCAGATACACACATTAGCTGCATTCAAGGCCTGGCCTAAAATATAGGGATGCACCGATACCACTTTTTCCAGTACTCGCCCGATACCGATACTTTTATTTTTGGTACTTGCAGATACCGAGTACCGATACCAATATTTTATTGCATTTGTAAATTTTTTAAATATTGGGTACAGAAACCAAAAGAGTATGTATAATGTTAGTTGGTTAACTTAATTTATCAAATAGATACAGTCAAACCAAAATTTATTCAGACACCTTCAACATTTCTCACATTATCACAGTTTATTCGCTATAGTTTAGAAAATGGTAATAAAATATGACAAGAACTCAGAGTTAAACGGTGTCAGAACAAATTCATCTTGATAATGCTAGATAATTCTGATAGAAAGGTATGTAATAGATTACAATCAACCAAAAAATATTCAGACAGCTGTTAGTATGACAGTATTTACACAACTATCAATACTTAGTCGGGCAACCCTTAGCCTCAATGACAGCCTGTAGTCTCCTGAGCATGCTGTCACCCAGCTTCATGAAAACCTCAACTTCAGTTTTTTTCCCAGACTCGGTCTGAATAATTTTTGGACACAAATTTGTATCAATTTTACTGGTAGTCCACTGTATGAAGAATTTTTGGGTATAATATATCACAGTTTAGTTTATTTTGATATCCTCACTTTACATAAATGAACTATAATGTCCTGCACCCACTAGTAAAAA